TAAATTATGAACATTATGTATATAACATAATATTGTGTCATCGTTAATAAATTTCTAACTAGGATGAAAAGACAATGATTTTTAATTAAGCCAAAAAAATATTTAATGTATGTTATTATATTACTGCACGTTTTAATTTTAAATTGATGTGATATAATTTTCTATGACAGATTAACGAAAAAAATAATAACAATAACAATTCTCATAAGAAAATAAAATAGTCATAGTTTTTGATTAATCTTTGATTAGTGTGTTTTTTTTTTTATATATTACAATTTACAGGCTTAATTCAATGTTAAACATAATAATATTGTTATAAATATAGTAATATACTATTATATTTTAATCGTCTAGATACCTCTGTCTAGAATCTTTGATAAATTACAGCTTCTTTTTTTTGTAATATTATATACTTACTGTATTTTTTTATTATGTACAAATATATATATATATTATACGTATGGATAATTACTTGAGACGCACCAAATGTATATGTATCTTATATAACGTACATATCATCTGGCTAAATCAATTGATTGAAACATACGTATCTCACTTATAACTTCTTGTCTAATCGGGCGGAACCAACTTCTGCGCGGAGCCACAAGTCGAGAGCCTATAATTGTCCGGTGTCGACGTTTTGGCGCTATTGTAAGTCGGCGAGGTCTCAAAATAGTATTATAAATATACCCGATAATATGAGAATGGCTCAGCGAACATAAGGCGGTAGGAGTCTGGAAGGGGTTGACACAACCGTTTATCTCTCTGAATAACCGGCATTTTTGAAAGCTGAAACCTTTATTGTACAATACAACCCTGCATTGTCGGCACTCACCGCAAGTGGCACGCCGTGGCCGGATGTAGAGGAAGAATCGTTCTCCGCAACCTTCACGAGCGCATGATATTATAATAAAATACCCTTTCGTATCACGTTATATTATGAATTTACGCAGTACCATCGGTGGTATAATGTGGCTGCAGTTACAGTTCGTGTATAATACGAGTATTTACATACGCATACGCCCGCACATTAATCTCGAATATTTCAATTCAAATAGATGTGACGAACGTGGTTATTATTTTATTTATGTCCGACCGCACACTCTGCCGACCAACACGAGACATAGTTGTTCATGTTTATAAAATATGCTGTAGTAGCAGTAAATAAATATACGGACATATTATACAGAGCGAGAGTGGTCTGCTAAGCCTGACCGCATTTGATTGCGTACCAAGTTTGACTTTGGACTTTTGTTGTGTTTTTTTTTTTTTTTTTTAATATATCTATAGATTAATATATAATAGTAATGTATATACTTTAAAATTCCAAAATTTAGGCTTTAAACTAATGCATTATTAAAAATAAGAGGAATTTGATTGTACTCGATGAATCGCTCTGTATGCAATATAATTATGTGTACAGGTTATTACTATTTTATTTATGCGTGCATTTATTTTTTATTGCGTTTCGGTCATTATTTCAATGGACAGTGTAATCGTCCAGTGCCCGCACTGAATCCCAACAACCTCCCAACGGGCTCCTAATTTCTCCACCCCCTACATTTGCCACAGTGTCTTCTGTCAGCTAAATTTTACGACCCTTCGCGCCTGGCCCCGGGAAAACAACTACAGCACCAGTTGAAATGTTTGCATTGGTCCATGTTGACGGACAAGGGATTAATGAAAATTATTTGGTGGACAAGGCAGTTTATACAAACCATTAAAGCACTCGCATCACAATATGTATGTTTTAGCGTGCATCAGAATATAAATGTTTAAAAAAATAAATTTAATTCTGTGCAGTGTATGCACGTATACACATATTAATTATATTAATGTTTCTTTTATATTTTTTATGCACTCACTAACATACCATCTGTACTTATTCTGGAATAAAAAGAATTTTTTTAATTAAACTCCCGACATTTCGATACAAAATCATCATTTCAACCGTACTGAAAAAAAATACTGTTTATTGAAAAATCAATTTCATGTACTTCGTTAATTTATTTTTAATAATGAAAATTAAATTTGACATATATTTTATGTTTCTATTTTTTTTTTTTAAATTGATTATCATCATAATTTAATGAAATTACCTTCTCGAAACGTTTCTGAGGACTTCATATCTCTATTTTTTGACGTATAATATATAAATTGATGATATTGATTTTTATCAGAGTTTGATTGTTGAAATTATAATTTAAAACATATTTTAGAGTGTAAAGTTTAAACTGTTATAATATTTGTTCGACGAACAATAAATTATATTTATCGCTTGAGATTAAGGTTTCACGGAGTTGTGTCACTGATATTGTGTTTGACGTCATCCAAAGGGATATTGAAATTGCAATTGTATCAAGTATCACATCTCACGTGTAAATGTTTACTCATAATAATATAATATATAGAACTATACATAGCAGGTGACTGATTGTTGATTTACAAATACAGTGTTTCATGATGACAAATATTACGTATTTGTACCTTGGTCAATGCATTTCTAATAAACGTTCCATCTGTTCTCGGTATTTCTAAATTATTAACAAAGAATACATGTTTCAATACAATTACCCCAAATAAATGCATTATAAAAAAATTAAAACTAAAGATCTGTGTAAAAGACTTTTGTATTTTTCGTTATTTTTCAGTTTGCACAACAACCATAATAATCATTAAATATGTATTTTATTAATTTAAAACAATGATCATCTGAAATTTGCGTGTGTTGAACACAGATTTTAGTTTTTAGATAATTGATTTATAAATTATTATTTTTCATTCATAAAATGTTAAATTTTTTTTTTAAACTGAGTATGTGAAATGTAAGTATTATATGATTTCAATAAACATTTTATAATTTAATAAATATTTTCCATGTATTCAGTTTGATTATTGACGCGTCAAATATTGTATTGATTTAATAATTCAAATATAGAAAAATTGAGTTTCAAATATTAAATTTTGATCGTCATAAAAGTCTTATTATTTATTAAAATGTATCAAATATAATAGTATACAATAACTATAATAAAGTTGTGTATGTATATTGTAATATTTGAATAGATCTTAGTTCTGATTTCGGTGAATAAATTAATTAAATTATACACATCAATGAATTACATTATGATTATTGGTGACTATGACCTATATGTTTATTTTAAGTTAAATGTATCTTTGATTATCATGATAATATTCAAATTATAAACATAATAATGATATGTAGGTGTAGTATGTGTAAGAACCAACAATATTATTGCAACTAACTACGTAACAACTTGCCATAAATAATCAATAATATTATAACGGCTAATGAAGGAAAAAGGATATATTATACAAATAATAATAATCAACTTAAAAATCATAGTAGCATACACCCCTTTTCTCAATAACTTCCATTATCTCAACCCCATAAAATCATCCATTTTACCGGAATTAATAAAATTAATCTCTAGAAATTAAAATATTTAACTATAAGAAGACTGCTTTATTACAAATCATTATTTTAATAATTGTATTTTTTACAATAGTAATAAGATTTACTACTTCGTTCCAATAAAATAATATAATATTTTAAATATGGTTAATTCATTTTAGGAAACTTAAGTATTTATTTTATTTGAATAGAAAACTAAGTCTAAAATATATTATGTTTGATAAATATATTGAAATAAAAAAAAACAAAATGATTAACTGAAAAACAGAATAAATTACATAGATACAACGTCCAAACATTATAAGCATAGCAAAATAAAAACTCAAATCTGAACATTCAAAGTTAGTTTAATCAATATTATATGTAAACTAAATGCATTTTTATAGAAAAGACCGACTTATTTTTATTTTTGTTTATTAAAAGTATATTTATTATTACAATTGTTAATATCATGAACACTACGCTATAAAATAATTTATTATTTTATTGCGAGTATTCTTGTATTTATAAATAAGCTATACATATCATATTATCACTGAAAAATTAACAATTTAACTTTAATATATAATTTGCATTAACAATTTAATAAAATTTTATCGTAGGAAATAGTTTTATTTTTAAATCATTGTTTGATAAATTAAAAATACGTTTTAGGACAATCATGTTCACTTTAAAGCACAATCCTGAATGCTCATTTGGGTACGATTATAGAAAAGTAACAAATAGAACATTTGTGTTTCAATAGCTTTTTTTTCTTTTATTGAACAATTTCTTGTTGCCTAATAAGAACATAGCATATTATATTAGAGTCACATCTTAGCCCAAATGTTTAAGATGTATAACAATTTAAGACCACTAGTCGCTATAAATTAGCTAATTTAAACTTCATTCGATTTGTGCAATTATTTGTTCGACTTTGTTCTATTACAGTTTTTAGGATTTTAACGGACATTGAAAACAAACTTTTTTTTTTACGAGCATACCATTCAATTACTGTGAAGAATATATATGACATAAGCGAGTACCTCTATATCGATTTTTATTCGATTAGATGAAAGTTGATTAATTTTTTTTTTTTTTTTTTAATGGATTTCTTTTACTGCCAGTAAACCAATTGTTTAGCATGATTTCAAATGAGTATGAATAATTATTGTGAGTATGAAATTTATTTTATGTAGTATTGATTTCCGCCAACTTGTTCAGCGTTTAAAACACATTTCACGTATCACCGAATTTTCATACGGGCTTTACGACCTCCGGAATAGCTTGTATTTATGCGAAATTAAAATCTAAAACAATCCCAACTTAACTGGTGAATATTTTTTCGTGTACTCACACATTTTTATGACGACACACATTTTCCTCTCTCTCACCCTGTGTCCAATATTACTTCTAGTTCGTTAGAGGTTCAGTGCTCAGCGAACTGTGTTCTGTTTATTTATTTTTGCTTTCCGTCCGCGACTCTTTGAAATCGCAAAGATGATTACGATTTGGAACGTAATATAATTTTTTCAATAACAATAATAATGCGAAGATAATTAATTTAATGATTTTTATTTTTCAGGATGGGCGATAGGAAACGACGAACGCAACTGGAAGTATCGATTATCTATTTACTATGTAAAACAATTTGATACGGGCTCATACACTTGCACTAACTCGCGTGGTATAAACAACACTATAACACTCCAAGTTTCAGGTAAGCTATGATATAATTACGCAATAGTGACAAATTAATTATCTTATATGTTATTTTAAGAAGTTGATGCGTTATAAAAACTAAATTAAATTAAAATAATCAAATAATTTTTTAGTTATAAATAGTTATTTTTATAATATAATTTTATTTTTATGTTTTAACTAAAATATTTTTTTTCTCTTAAAACAACAATAATACTAACTGAATATATTATACAATTTGGGAAATCGTAAACTTCGCAAAAATACCGATTAGATAAAAAGGTTATGAAAGGGTCTAATGTAAACTCTACAAATTTTATTTTCTTACCTGTAACGGGTATACGGAAACTCCATAAGTATTAAGGTCTTCTCATATTCAAAACGTTGATATCCGTTGTGATGACATATGTCGAAATTGAGGTGCAATAACAGAAATTGCGATTTATTAAAAGTGTTGAAACGGAATAACATAATATTACTTTGACAAATTCGTCTAGTAATACTCACATCATTTCATGCCTTTCAATTTCTTCGTATTAATTTTATACTGTTACCCGATTTTTTTTCTGATGAAGTTTACACTAGTTAATTGTTTTGTAATCCTGATTAGATGTTTGTCTAATTTAAAACTAAAATATCAGACACCGGAGGTTAGAAATAATTTTATTGTTTAGAAAAATTAAGGGAACTTTAACTTTTTTAAGAGTAAAAGTAATATAAAAAAATGTCATTATTTATTTTGATTTGCTATTTAAAATACTGGCACAATTCCATATTATGTAAATAGTTTTGTAACCATTTTATACATTTAATGCAGTTAATGAGTCATTGAGACATTATGAGAAGTAAAAATAATTTAACCTTCGGTAAATTCAGTTAGATATCAAGTTTTGAAAAATAATTGGTTGGGCTGCTTCGTTTATATTGTATAAAATGTAAGACAAAATTACACCTTAGAGGATGTCAACTAGAATAAGAGATAATAGTTTAACTATTCAGTAGTTACCTTTGTCTTGTATATTTTTTTAATCAGTTTTTTTGGTAGTTCGTGAATTTTTTTATGAATGCTTAATTATAATGAACAATGATGTAAATATTATCATAAAAATTTCCACTATACATTTTATTAATTTAAATTGTACTAATCGACATTTTATATTTATTAATCGTAATTTACTTATAATGCTAGCATATTTTAAAGTTAATAACGTAATACGTAACATTTTAATCGGTCAATTTGGAACATTAAGTAATTGCATAAAAAAGTTTTACAATAAAACTATTACGCAATAAATTTAAGCTTTTGTTATAATTTATAAACCTCACTGGTCTTTATAAATCTACTTTTCTTGTTTTATAAGATCAAAATATAAAATGCGTGGACGTTTTGTACTTAACATACTCACGGGATTATAAGTAAGTGATAAATGAATTGTACAGCCTATGGGGATATGTCATAAACAAGACACGAATAATAATTTAAAAAGCTCTAAGTGAAAAATATCAAAATTGCATTATAGTTTTAACCTAAAATATTTTAAAAATAACATTAATGTCTTCTTATTCTAAAATGTTATTTGCTACAATAATAATAATAATAATAATAATAATAATAATAATAATATACAAAATTATGATCATTTATAATCTAACAATATTATTATACATTATTTATTCTTTTAAATATTTAATCTTCTTTGTTAAATAATTAATATTTCAAGAATAACAATATTAAAAATTACTGCTTTGAAAAGTAATTGGGTTAAACGTTAGTGAACTTCATAATAAAAATTAAATTTGAAAATAATGTTTAAGTTATAAAATGAACATTGTAATGATTTCAAAATATATTTCTAGCATAAAAATAAATACTACTTTGTTTATTTTTATGGACCACACATTCACAGACATTCCTTTAATAACTAATAAAAAAAATGTACCTACGTTTTATTATACGTATTAAAGTAATTTAATGAATTATATCCATATTGTAGGTAAAATATTTTAATCTTTACATCAAGTATTTAATATCAAGGTGCAAAGTCATTTTACCTAAAACATAATAGTAGTAAAATTAATATAATTAAATAATTTATTTACAAATTTAGTTGTTATTTATAAATGTAAAATAAAACATTTTATAACTTTATTTTTTTATTTTTTTTATAATTGTTGTTATTATTATTATTTTTTATTGAGTTTTAGTTCATGTCTTCAAAAGGATCTAACAAATCGTGAAATTTTTATAGTTTTTTGAATTTTTGTCTTGCATCATAAGTACTTCAGCATTCTTTTCATAAAATATGTTAAATCGTCTCTGGTACCTGCACTAAAAGTTTGATATACTTTTTCTTTTTCTTTATCATTAAATACCATAGGTGAAATATGTTCCATAGAAATGTATTACTAGTCCGTCCCATCTGTTGCCTAATGATCTAGTGGTTCAAATCGAATATATTTAATAATTTTTATTTATCATAATTAGTTAGATACTGATAGTTTTTTTATTTTCCATTGAATTTTTAATTTGTTATAATTTAGTTAATTCGTGTCTTTATTTGATTAATTTCTCAGCATCATAATTTATCATTGTTAATTGCTTTATACTCAGCAAACCAATAATATCTTTAGTTTCCAATAAATGTATTTATTGTATTTACCATTTAGGTATTTGGCGTGGCTAATTCATCAGTAGCGTCAGTGGAATACTATCTGGTAGGTGTGGTGTTACATTTCAAAGTTTCAATCTGCAATGGTTACATTATTGTTTATTATTATTCATCAATCTTCTCACGTATTCTTTTATATTATTTTTCTTCAATACACTTATTTATATTTATTTATAATGTTTATTTTACTTAGAAAATTCAGGTATTTGGTGCGGTTTTCTACGTTGAGCTTTTTTTAGATCGTTTGGTATGGAAAGGTCATTTCATTTATTTTGGTATTCTAGGCGAATTAAATTACATATGTTATGTTGTTGGTCAGTTCCAAATTATTTATTAGATTTAGATTGATGTTTTTTAGTTGATTATGAACTAGATGGTAAATAAAAATGTCCAATTTTGGCTCTTACTATTGTAATTTCTTATAGTCTTTTAAAATATTGGGAAATGTGCCATTTTTAAAATACTTTTTTTTTCTTCACTTTTGAATTTATTAGTGGATGGGAATTAATTCTAATTGCTTTGTCATATCATAATCAATTATTGATATTTGTGTGATAGAAGTTCTATTATGATTTAATTGTTCGGTAAATGATTGTTTTAGTCTTAAATTCTGTGTTGTTATACCAAAAATATTATTACCAGTTATACTTACATATAACGTTACTCATATAAATTCTATACATATCCTTTTGGTCGAATTTTATTCATTTTGGATATTGTTAGTAATTTCATTAGTCAAGAAAGTATTTGAAATTTTGGAAAAGTGTGTGAGTTGTTATTGGCAAGTATATTACTTGAATTATTCTTGTTAGTTCATTTTACTGTTTCATGGATGACATAATATTTTACTAAGAATATGCTGATTTCTGAAGTGAGTTTATGGTGTAATGTAATTTCATGTTGAATAATTGCAGAAGCTTCTCCTTGCGTTAATTTTTGTAGACCAAATACTTATCTCAGTTACTTACTGTATCAGCAGGTACATACATTTATTTCACAACATTTTTCAACTATGATTTTATATTTGGAGGTAAAAACTTTTGTGTTTATTTTGTGTTTATCATTGTTTAATTATCTACTTAAGATATTGAGTTTTACTTTTAAACGCTAAAATGGAAGAATTTTTAAATTTATTTTTACTAATTAACAAAAAATGAAAATTTGTGTCGGGATATTGTCGAGAATTTAATTTATTACTAGTAGAACAAATTGAGCATTGGTATTGATACTTTTTTAGAAACTATCCCATTTCGATTTATATCAGTATAAAATTACTTATATGAACTATAGGTACTAGATGATGCTTTTATCAAATAACACTTGTTATTTCAAAATGTATTAATTTTTTTGAAAATATTTTTTTTTTACCTAATTTTCAAACAAAACTAAACAATACTTTTTAATATTTGTATCTTTATAAATTTTTACTTGTTTTAATGTTAATATATATTTTTAAATTCATAATCAAAAGTACAATATTTTTTCTAGTATTTTAATACATACAAATTTTAATTTTAATAAATAGTTTATAAAGTATGTAATGATATCTGACTCTGACATATCGTTGAATAGAAGTTTAAAGAAAATAAATAAATAACGGTCAAATTGTCATACACAGATGATGGTTACTTCCATTATATATATATATATATTTTATTGCTGATCAAAGAAAAGATTCATATTGTAAGGTCATGTAGAAATTGACACGTATTATGACAACAGAGCGTTAGCATTTTTGACTTTTTCATGTACTGCTAGATACAGGGCATTGTCTAATACGGGTCTCTGCTATCAAGAATGAAGAATAGTTTCTTGGAAACGCAAAGGTCTACTGGCTACTCTAGCTAATTTGACCACGTCGTGATCTGGAGAAATGTAATAGCATAAATTTAATATTTGCATCTGGTAGATAATTATATTCTCCAGCACTTAGAAAAATAAGGAAGAATTTCCCTGACTTAGACCTTAATATTCAAGACTTAGCCCCTGTTAAGACTTATGTTTTTTATTTTTACGTTATTATGAGAGTGAAAATATCATTATGTGAAATATAGGGATATTCACGTATTACTTCATTCTATCAACCTTAATTTTAAATAGCGTAAGTTAAAAAAATTGTATTTTATTATAAATTTTATATTTAAATTATAAAAAAAAAGTTTTTTTCAAAAATGTTAATAGATTTTTAAATAATGAGTATTGCTTGATAAATTAATAACACTGTAGTAATTAGTAGTACTTTTAATATCTGAGGTGTGTTCAAAAATCACAATAGTTATCACTTTTCGGCTTAATTATTTACAATATTAAATTTAAATATATGCAAATAGTAAGATATTTATGTATATATATATATATATATATATATATATTGCTATCTTTCTATAAAAAAAAAACTAAAAATTCTCAGATGCTAACATTTTATAGGCATATTATTAAGATTAGTTTTATTAAATTTATATTTATTTACTTATATATTATAATTATTTTGAATAGATATCCATTGTAAACCAGTGCCCAGCATGAATCTCAATCCTCATCTCAACTATAGAGCAAGTGGGCATAGGCTTGGTCAAACAACATACTTCAACTGTCCACCTGGATTTTTCCTTAAAGGTTCAGCAAATATCACCTGTCTTCCTTCAGGTTAGTCAATGTTATTATGACACCAATTTATTTATGAGTATTGTATGGATTGAACATTTTTTATCAATGGCTAAAAAGTAAATCATGTTGCCATTAGTCTTTTCAAAAATACTTTAACATCTTTATCACTAAGTTGAAAAAAACCAATAGAATTTATATATATATATATATATATATATATGTATAAATGCACATTATTATTTTTTGAATTAGTATATCTAAGTGTTTCTAGATAATAACATGATAAGAAAAATTATTATGGTATTTCGATGAAAATTAAATAAAATACGTTTGATAGAAATCAATTTTAATTTTCAAAATAAGTATCGTAATTTAATTTCGTGCAACTAAATAACTTTTTGTCATTTTTTTTAAAACCAGCTTCAATAATTTGAGCATTTTTCATTTGAAAGTTTTTAAAAAAAAAATTCCTAATAATCTATTAGACTTTAAACTAACTTTTTTAAATTTATTTATTTTGATCTTTGTACTTACATTAAAACTGGAACTGAAACATAAAAAAGTAATAAATTCAAATTATTTCATTTTTTAAATGAATCTTGAGATTTGTTTTCTGTTTTATACGTGTATTTCTCTTGTAGATTATTTGATATTTAGAAATATTATGTAAATTTAATACTTATCTTATAATTATAACAAGTTTAAACACCTACAAAATATGTTTATGAATAAGATTAAAATATTTTCTGCTATAGATTTTTATAATGTACCAATATTAAATCAATATTAAAAGTTTAATTTAATACACTTTCGTATTGTACGTTGTTTTAAATCTATTAACGTATAACTTAACGTATGGCATAGGAAATCTTTAATTTTTTTATATTTTCTATAGAAAAATTAGTTTTAATGAATTTACTCTGTCCACAAAATAAAAATTTGTTTAACTGAAGTAAAATTTGTTATAGTTTATGCGTTTGTAAAATGGAAATAAGACATGTGGGTGTTGCATCATCTTACATAATATAATTGTGTCAAATAACTATAGTACTTACATTATTTTATACCAAAAGTTCTTAAGAGTTAAATACAGTAAATTATCTAAGTTTCTAAGATAGTTCCATATAAATTCAGGAAGTGCGTAGGTAGTAATTTATCATTAGTTTGTGTGATTTTAGTAAAAATATTTGATGAGGTAATTCTACATTTCACACAAACAAATGCACTTTTCACTTATTTATAGTCGATAATTAATATTTTTTACTAAATAGTATGTATTTACCAAATAGTAAAATTCACCAAGTACTGAATAGTAAAACAAAAGTCCAACTTATTTTTTGTGATAAAAAATTAGAAAATATTTTTGTTTCAATTCTGAACAATCGATATTAGATGATTCTTCAATTTTTACATTTCAAAATTAAGATTAAGCGGATGATAAAAATTATAATTTTAAAAGTTGTATGATCGATCTTAAGTAAACTTATTAACGAACTTAAATACGTTTTCAGATTTCTATCATGAAAAAATAGTTGGTATGTTTTCTACACAAATACGTTCGGCATAAAACCCCCTTAAGGTTATTATAATCTTATACCATATATTTAATATGTATAGCTTAAAATGAAAAGGGTCTTTCATAACCTTTGAATATCGTGAACTCTTAGTATGCTACATTGCTACTGGATTAATTAGTTTTGTTGTTGCAGAAGTTCTGAAAGTTCACTATGTTATCGAAACCTTATTTCCTTATTCAGATTTTAGGTTAGGTATAAGTTGAAAAAATAATATTCATTGAAGATCAAATATTAGTCAACTGAATAAGTTATTATTATTATTATTATTATTATTATTTTTTAGTTTCTTTAAATATTAGTCATGGTTTTAATTTAGGAGGGTTTTATTATATTTAAAGCAAAAAATATATCACAAATGTATTTACATTTTACCGTTTGTTGACATTTTATGGTGTACTACTTACACACGTCAACAAAATACCAAAGATTATACGTTACTGTCAGAATATACATTCCTCTATTTTTTTCCAACCACAATAAAATGATCATGGATAAAACGACCATTATGCACCCTAAACATTTTAGTGAAATTGTATTTTTACGATTATTAATTGAAAGTGATTAGCAATTCGAGAATTTCTACGGTAAAAACAAAATTATTCTTTTCTCTGAGCGTAATGGTCAGTAATTAAACTAGGGGACATCCGTGGATTAACGTGGGTCCAAAAGTATAGAAAAAAAAATAATAAAAAAAATCGTTTCAAATTAAATTAGATTTTATCTTCCTTGCAGTACCATATCGTCAATTACTACACAGAAGAGTTAGACAACGTATCTCGTCGAATCTGATAGCCTGTGGAGACTTTCAATTCTCAGTATTATAGACAGTAGTAATGGTTTAATTAAAACAATTAATTTGTTCTGGCTCTTGTCATTCTAATTGAATGGTAGCAGGAAAAAATACATTTTTCAGACCTTTATAACCATTTATATGCATTCACTTTTAAGTTTTACATTAACATTTTTAACGCAAATAAAAATTTATTCTTTATTCTTTATTCTTTGGAAGAAATATTGTTAACATATGATGATTAGTTACTTATAATTATTTCTTTTTAGAACATTATAGTTATATAGCTATGGTATTACTTTTGTTTTACAACTTGGACAATTACACGTATTCAATGTGATTCAATTTAATATTATGGTAAAACTTATTATCTTGTTTATATAGATCTAAGAAGCCTATTATTGTATTCTACCATGTACATTGATGATGATAATAAATAATAATAATAAAAATAATTATAATACGAAAAATATTAACTGTAAGTTAACCACTGTCTCGATATAGCTGAATAAAAACCGTACACACAAAGACGGTACTCGTTTTTGTTTTCTCCTTCACATGGCTCGTTAATTATTCAGGAAATCAGTTGGGAAATGTTTAGAATGAACTCAGGTAGTACATATATACTCACAACGGTAGCCGTGAGCTCACTCGAAACTTTCAAAAACAATAAGTTTCGACGTTCTAGATTCGCTCACACACACACACACACACACACACATGCATAAATGCAAGAGCACGTGCATTCGTGGACAGGCTTTAATTCGGAATTTCCTTTTATGATATACCTATGCATGTAATTCATAATTTATCAATTTGTTATAATTATTTGTAACATACCAAGTCTTATCGCTGAATAGTTTTCATTTATTCCCTAAAAAAAAAAACAACGTATACTGATAACTGCAATATCAAGTTTCGCCTTCACTGGCACAAATTGGTTTAATCTTAACTTGCTAAAATTGAAACTTAAAATAATTCTGTGATTAATTAAAAAAAATATTATTACTGTAACAAAGGTTCGTATTTTTTTTTTAGTTAAAAATTTCTTTTAGTTTTACATATTTTATTATTTTCAGTAGTATCTGTATAATTACTTAATGTAGTTAAGTATACTTACCTATATAATTGATGAAATTAAAAATATTAGCATAATATCAATATAACAATTCGTATTTTGAAAAAAAAAAAAACAAATGTATTCAATATTTTATAAAATTAACGTGTAAAAATACATAAATATTTAATAATGATATATATTTAGGTACGATATCCAGTAATCCGTGCTAAGTTATTTTAAACAAATTAATAATTCGAAGGCATTGAAGAATTACTTTTCACGAATATTTTTCCGATTTGAACTACTGTCTTCCTTGAACTTCATATCGTATCCATTGTTTATATTAGCTTTATATTATATATATATATATATATATGCGTGTAGCAGCAGCCACATCAGTAACCGCCTATTGGTCACGGAACCCGTAAATAAATTTAATACGCTCTCCTCATTCTCACCGTGTTTAACGTTTTATTGATGATTCCCGCTGTATAGCTACAGCACGGGTCCCATTACTCACGTGTTGTAAACGGCGTTAACTGTTTTTTTTCTCTTTCTTTTCATCCTACATATTGTCCCGTACGACATACACACAAAGAAAGCAAAATGCGGTGAGCTGTGGACAGCTTTTCAGATAAACCATAGTGATTGTGATTATATCCTCTATGAAATCTTATCCCACTGCCAAATATCTCTAGTGAATATTGACCTCATGATAAATTTTATTAGTATATACGTATTTGTCCCTGTAAAATGTTTTTAATGAATTCTTACTCTCGATAAGAAAAATAATTCTAATAAAATAATATCCTAATCTGGTAAAATGTTGCCAGAAAATATTTACTAGAGAGAAAATTTTCTAAGTGATTATTATCAACTCATTAAAAGTTTCAAACAAGTAATTTTCACTTAAAAATATTTACCGCAATTTGTGCAATTCGTGAGAAAACAATTTGAAAGAAAAAAATATTCACTAGTTAAATTTTATCGAGCTTTACAAAAGAGTAAATATTTACTAGTTACTAGTGATGTTTTGTTATAAAGGGGAAGGGAGAAAATCAATAAAAAAGATAAAAATATCTAAATTACGATACAATTATGTAATAGAGTTATATAAATATTTTAACCAAGCACGGAACTAGAATTTTTTTTTAGGGGGGGGCAGAGCGGGGAAAATATTTTTTTTACATGTGCTAAGATTTTTTTTCTCATTTTACAAATTTCAAAACATATTTTATTAAAATTGTTGTAGATTTTTCCCTTATTAGATAATACTAGTAGGTTAATTCACCGTAAAAAGACTGAAGATGTTATTTGTTCAAACTTCATTAATTAAATTATTATAATCTATATTAAATTCAATTTATTTAGTAGTGACAAATATATTAAATAAATTAAATATTGATATTTTACACAATATCTGTTTATGCACCAAACAGTAAATGATTGAAAATCTTAAAACGTTAAAATAGTTAACAAAAATGTATAAAATTGCATCAATACTAGTAGGAATAATATTATTTTAAATAAAAATTTGTGATTACCTTACCTAATAATATTATTTAACTAGTAAATTTCAAGTTCTTAGTTCAATACATTTTTTAATCGGTAT